GGTTTAGGGCTGTTGTACATAGGGTCGCTATGAGTCGCAAACGACTCGACGGCACATAACAACAACAACAACAAGAAGAAGTTTGAATGCACATGAAGCAATTGAAAATGCTTTGGGTCAAACACGTCTTGGCCCTCAAAATGGCATTTTATTTTTTAACAGTTGAAGTCTTTTTCAACAGATTTGCCCAGTATGCCCTTTTGATTTTTTTTTAATAAATTTTCATTTTATACTGGTTTACTTACAAAGTTTTTATACATTGTTTTTCATACCAGATCTCTCTCATTTCCTTTATCCACTGCTCCCTCTACCCATCAAATTGTGTGACCCTATGATTACCTCTCCCCATTCTCACCCATCTGCTCTCCCACTCCCACCTCCAGATCCTCATACACATTTTACTAGTTATTTCTATAATAATGGTCTTATACAGTATTTTACTTAACGGACTGAGTTTGTTTACTTAGCATAATGCTCTCCAGTTCCTCCCAAATTAAATGCTCTCCAATCCCTCCCAGGTTAGGTAGTAATTTTTCAAAATAGTTGTTCCTACATGCTGTGTAGTATTCTATCGTGTGAATGTACTATACTCTCTCCATCCATTCGGTTGTGGTTGAATATATATGGGCTGTTTCCATGTTATTGAGATGATGAATAACAATGTTACGAATACTGGTGTACAGATCTCCATTTGTGCCTCAGTTCTAATTTTCTTGGGATATAGTCCAAGCAGTGAAATAGCTGGATCATATGATATTTCTATGTTCCGCTTTTGAGGAAGTGTCAAACTGTCTTCCAGAGTGGTTGTACCATTGCTACTTGCATGAGAATTGACTGTGACTGCAAGTTAAATGAAATCCTTGATTTCAATATTATTGCCTTCATAATTGATAATATTGTACATTGCTTGTGTCAATCCAGAAGATATTTGACAGCCAAGATAAATAAAAATATTTATATCCTTCAACAGATTGAATGATTATAATTATAATTCTATATTCTAAGGAATCTATAATGGAGAAGTAATGTTTATCTATGAAAATAGGGAAATTATACAAATGTGACATAAAATGGAACCAATACATACTGTTGTTATTGTTTGTTAAGTGCCATTGAGTCATAGACAACTCATAGTGACTCTATGAATGAAAGACATGAACATTTATACAACTTTCATCATTTCTCCAAGTTCATAGAGTTTCCAGAGACAAGCTATTATGGAAGTAGATGTCACTCCTGCTTCCAAGCTTGTTTTAATCAGGGAACTCCACCAAACACTGTCCACCATAGGTAACCATAATCTTATTTGACACATCAGTGTCACAGTGTTCAGCTTCACAGCAAAAACCAGCTCTGTGCAGCAAGTGGACAGACCAGGCCTATACAACCTGGAAGAATGACCAAAAACAATTAAAAACAGGCCTGAGGACAGCAGATTAAAATCACCCACCTTTGGCTTGGTAGCATCACTTTCTGTCCATAGGCGAACTATGTTGTTGTATATATGTGAAATATAGATAGATATATAGATATAGATACAGATACAGACACAGACACAGACACACAGACACAGACACAGACACAGACACAGACACAGACACAGATACAGATACAGATACAGATATAGATTAGATATAGATTAGATATAGATATAGATGATATAGATATAGATAGATATAGATACATACACCCAGACTTCCATTGCTTTCTAGTTAGAACCAACTCCTATCTGATCTTCCAGCAGATTTTTGGCAAGTATAATGCACACAGGAGAAGATTGGCTCCTCTGTGTAGCTGCTGGCAGATTTGAACAGCCAGAGGTGCACCACCTTTTCTGCAAGGATCACAACTCGGCAAAATTACCTTGCATTAGTTTCTGTCCTTACAAATTTTCTTGTTTTGGAAAGGCTCAGTCTTACAAGTTTTGTTTATAAATCAAATACATGAGTTTTCCTTCTCTGACAGCGATCAACCTTACCCAGCTACTGGCTTTTCAAAGTTTTACTGTAGTTGGCTTGACAACCCAGGTTACATTCTACTGCTGCAATATTATGCAGCCATTAAGAAGAATAAAATTATGTAACCACATAAAAATATTTATATTAGCTGAAAAAATTTTTAAAACTACACATGCACTATAATGACAACCAAGTGAAATGCAGACATGTAAGGAAAGAGAAGGGCCAAGGACTTGATAAATAAGGTGCGCTATAAAGACAGCATAACCTTGATTCTAAACTCACTATGTCCTGTGGATTTTGATACATGGAGGTTTTCCATTGGGTTCCATGATGGTAATTCTTTACAAGAGGAAATTGCTCAATATTCTCCTATGGTTGGTAGATTCAAATTGCTGATCTTAGATTTAGTGGTCCAATGTGCACCACACTGCACCACCAGGGCTCCTTAAAACCTGGGTAGGATTATATTTTAAACATGTACTTTATTTTCCATGATGTCTATAATATGTTATATAATTTTTTAGAAATGTAAAAATAAATCAAATGAACGGTATGTCAAAGGGGAAAAGTCTTAACAATCATCAAATAGTGTACATTGTTATCTATAATTTATTTTACTGCTGGCAGTAGAGGAAGTTATATTTAATGGATATTAATTCTGATGATTTCCAAATTGAAAACTAGTTAGAATTTGTTTTGACATGATTATGTCATACTGCAAGATGTAAATGACATCATGGTAATATATACTGTTAAGCAAGCCCTATTATTTACTGATACTACATTCCCCCTTTCTTTTAATATTCCAGTTCTTGTTCTGCTCCTCGTGCTGTATCACCCTGAGTCAATGGAACAGCTTCAGAAACTCTTTCCATTCTGAAATGCTACTGAGTCCAGTGGTGCCACCAGCGGAGACTGAGCTGAGGATAAAGGAAATCATGAAGAAACTGGACCAGCTGATCCCTCCCAGACCTTTCCTCCACATGAACACCACCAGCAGCGCAGCACACAGCAGAGTCACCTTGCTCAGCCCTCGAGACACCTACTGCAAAGGGGAGCAGCTAGACCTCCTGCTGGAGGTGAGGGACCACCTGGGACACAGGAAGGAGTATGGTGGGGATTTCCTGAGGGCCAGGATGTCTTCCTGGCCCTGAAGATGGGGGCTTCAGGAAAAGTAACTGACTTCCACAATGACACCTACCTTGTCCACTTCACTCTGTTCTGGGAGGGCCAGGTGTCTCTGTCCCCACTGCTCATCCACCCCAGTGAAGCTGTGTCAGCTCTTGGAGGCAAGGAGCCAAGGGTACAAGAGGGTGGTTTTACTGGACTGTTCGTCAATGGTACTTCCACATCCCACCTCCTTTCTGAATGTGGCCTGACCTTAAACACAGTGAAGAACTGTGCCAGTATCTGGACACTTGAGACCAAGAAGCCTTCTACTCTGTGTGGCCGTGGCATGTTTCCTGTGATGCTCTGACCTACGTGACCACCAGGAATACAAATATTTCCTATCTGAGCAAGGACGAATAGGGTCTTTTCCAAAGGTAAGTGCACCTTCAAATGTGATGCTAAATACAAATGTTTTCTTTATCATCTTGGTCAGATCAAGCTCTGCCTTTTAGCTTTTCCTAACCATGTCAATTAATGTTAAGAAGTTACTATCAAGAGTCTCTGGATGATGTAAATGATTACACTAATTGAAGGGACAGAGAATAAGCTCTTTCAGAGGCACCTTGGAAGAAATGTGTGGTCATCTACCAAATCCCCCCAAAAAACAAACAAAAAAAAAACCCACCAAAAAACCAAACCACCAGCCATTAAAAACCCCTGTGGAGTAGAGTTCTACTCTGGCAGACAGAAAGTCTCCAAAAGCCAGAAGTGACTTGATCGCAACTGGTGACTATAGTGTTGTTTCCTTCTTTCTCTATTGTTTCTATCCTTTTATATGTTATTATCATCATTCCTCAATTAGATTATCGCACCAATCTCCAAAGTCGGTTTCCTTGCCCCCAGCTTTATTTTCTTGTTTTTGTTCTCCATGCTTTACACTTAATGTTTCTGAGTACAAATGTGTTTCCAAAAATGCGAATGTCAGTTTAGCTCTTGTGGTCTGGTGGTAAGAATCTGCACTGCAATCTTGAAGGAACGTGGTTCAAATCTACCAGCTCTGCAGGAGAAGGATGGACAATGTCTGTCTCTGAAAACACACTGAAGGGTCAGCTATGGGTCAGTTCTGACTCAACAGTACACAACAACAACAACAACAACTCATCTCTTGGGAGAGAGATAGGGCTGGATATTGATGGATTGAATTTTGTACAATCAATGATCTACTAATTGAAAATACCTTTTATAGAAATAATTGTCTGCTACATATATGGTCCTTATCTGACAAGGAATTCAATTAACTGCATCAGTGGATAGAAGTGATGAAAAAGCTCAATATTAGCAGTCAAAATAAGGCCAGGGGCTGAGTGTGAAACAGACCACCAATAATTCATATTAAGCTGAAGCTCAAATTTAAGCTGAAGAAAATTAAAACAAATCCAGAAAAACCAAAACTTGGCCTTGTGTCTATCCTATCTGGATTTAAAAGCCATCTCAAGAATAGATTTGATGCATTGAATGCTTATGATTATTGACCCAATGAGCTGTGGGATGACATCATGGATATCATTCATGAAAAAATCCAATGGTCATTACAAAGACAGGGGAGAAAGAAAAGACCAAAAGGGATGCCAGAAGAGACTCTCAAAATTACACTAGAACATAGAGAGGCCAAAACAAAGGGAAGAGATGCTGAAGTAAAAGATCAACCGATGATTTTTTCTGTTAATATTTTTAATTGATTTTTATATAATAATATCTTAACAGTATGTTTCATTCATATACATTGTTTTACACAATCTTGCACTTACATTGTGTTTCAATCATTCATATACATTCTATTTTACATCATTTTGGAATACTAGTTTATGTACAAAATTAGAACACATTGTTTTTCAGACCAGATCCTTTCCATTTACCTCACCCCATCAACCATTAAATTGTATGACCCCATGTTTAATCCCATGCCCCCCCTACATCCTCTCCCCTCTGTTTCTCCCTTCCCCCTTGAATCCTCATACTCATTCTACAATAATGGTTTATATAGTATTTTTCCTTGGGGGACTGAGTTAGTTCACTCAGTAGAATGCTTTACAGTCCCTCCCAAGTTAAGTAATAATTTACAAAATCATTGCTCCTGCATGCTGTGTAGAATTCCACTGTGTGTATGTACTGTGTTTTCTCTATCCATTCGATTGTGGTTGGACATCTGGGCTGTTTCCATGTTCTTCTGAAGGTGAATAATGCTGCTATGAACATTGGTGTACAAGTCTCCATTTGTGCCTCAGTTCTCATTTTCTCAGGGTATATTCTAAGCTCGGTCATACAGAATTACTATGTTCAGCTTTTTGAGGAAATGCCAAACTGCCTTCCAAGAGTGTTTGTACCATTGTACAATCCCACCCACAATATATGAGTTCCTATCTCACCACATCGTCTCCAACATTTATTACTTGCTGTCCTATTAAACTTTGGCACTGTTACGGGAATAAGATGGTATCTCATTGTGGTTTTGATTTGCATCTCTCTTATTGCTATTAATTTTGAACATTTCTTCATGTGTCTGCCATTTGAATATCTTCTTCAGTGAAAATTCTTTCCATGTCTTTTGCCCATTTTGTAATTGGGTTATCAGTCTTTTTCTTGTGGAGGCCCAGGAGTATTCTGTAAGCTTTTGTTATGAGATTCTTGTCTGAGCTGGTATTGCCAAATGTTTGTTCCCAGTCAGTAGTGTTTGGTTTTTTTTCACGCTATCGGGAAAAGT